TATATAAAACTACAGTGTTTGCATATTTTCTTTCCTCACAGACCTCTTTCTATAATCTATCTCTTTCATTCCCCACCCATCTCTTTTAAAAAGACTGTTAGTACATGTTTGCAAAATGTAATGTTTAGGATCCTTGTGAGGAGTTAGTACATGCACATAACACACCTTAATTCCTCTTTTCATCCCCTTTCCCTCCTCTCCTTCCATCTCTTCACTCCCTTCCCATTCAAGAAAGCTCTATCTCCCTACTTATTATTATCTTTTATTTTGCTCTTTATTTATAAATTGGGTTTCTCATATGAGAGATACCACACAATATTTAAGCTTGTGTGTCTGATTTACTTCACTTACCACTATGGTCTAAAGGTGCATACATTTTTCCTACAAAGGACTCATTTATCTTTCTTGATGAAAGAGTAAAACTCCATTGTGTGTAAATATCACATTTTCTTTATCCATTCATCTGTTGAGGGACACATAGGCCACTTCCAAGATTCCATCTTATACAATACTGTGAGTGAGCTATGTAAAACGGAATCTTTACATACTATTCCTTCACTACCATCCGCCACTTGGAACTCAGAAACTGTAGAAGTAGAAGAACTTTACTTAAGGTCTTAGGGATTGCAATGCAGGAGACACAGGTCCACTTAGCTCTGAATTTGTGTTCTGAAAGCAGCCAGAGACAGTGGGAACTTAAATGGACAAGTAGCATTAATTTATTACAAAGTGGTAAAAATTGTTTTGTAGGAAACTTCTCCTGAAATGCTGAGAAAGAAGAGGGACCAGTGACTAATTGAAAGTAAGGAAAAGGTTGTATAAACAGAACAGAAAAGTGTTTAAAAGAAATCTGCAAACATCTTGATATGCATCACAATGTCATCACCTGGTCATTCCAGATGCCAGCGTCAAAGGGTGGAGGTGGCCAAAGTTCACATTCCAGGCAGCTGCTTGAGAGAGACGTGTACACGTTCAGTGCCCCAATGGACTTTCAGCTCCATTTTGAAAAGCTCTCCCAAGGTTGTTTTCATCGTCATTTTGCATTTCACTGGCTCTTATTATTTCAACGTGAACTACAAACCCATTGGCGCAGCACACAAAGCCTTCTGTGATTTGGCCCCCACCTCACTGCCCAGGCTTATTTTCTACCACATCTCCTTTGCCTGCATGATTATAATTTTCTTCCCAACCCCATGCCTTTTCAGATACCTATGACTTTACTCAAGTTCTTTCCCTCTTCACGTTTCTTTACTTGCAAACTTTCAGTTATCCTTTAAGGTGGGTGACACCTTCATGTAGCCTTTTCTGAACCAACTCCTGAACTTTTCAAGGCTGCTTGCATTTAGCTTTTCTCCTACATTGTCTGTATTACATTTGCTTAATTTTTTGCCTTCTCTCCAAAAAGATCCTCAAGCAGCATGCCTGGCATGCTGTAGACAACTTAGTTATTGTTTTCCTTCGGAGAAGCACATCCCATTCTAGTAGTCAAAGAGGAAAGGCAATGCTTGTTATTCACAGTCTCAAGTTTTTACAACAAGAACAGACAAAGTTCTATGGCATTCTAGAGCTGGATGGCCTGTTTTAAAGTTGATCTATTCCATCTTCTCTTCAAATAGTTTTAAGATGATGTAAGAGACACTCAGGAAGTAATGTATTGAAATCACATAGCTAGAGAATAGAATGACAAGGAATTTTTGTTTATATCTCCTGACTTTTTGACCAGGATGCCTTTTGCTGCTCTGTCCAATAAAAAATGTCTACTTTCTCTTCCTCTACCCTAACCCCATTCAGTCTTTTGGAGATCAAGAAGTGACTGCCAAATCCTACACACCAACGCTCCGGCGACCTGCCCTGAGCATGGCAACCCTCAATTACACTGGTACCAGCCACTCGTTCTTCATTCTGCTCGGTATCCCTGGCCTGGAAGACCAACACGGATGGATCTCCCTCCCCTTCTTTGTTTCCTACCTTGTTGCCCTCCTTGGGAATAGCCTCCTCATCTTTGTCATCATCACTGACCACAGCCTCCACGAACCCATGTACCTCTTCCTCTGCATGCTGGCTTTGGCTGACTTTATCCTGTCTACTACCACTGTGCCCAAGGCCCTGGCTATATTCTGGTTTCATGCAGGAACAATTTCCCTTGATGGATGTGTCACTCAAATCTTCTTCATCCATGCTACTTTCATTGCTGAATCAGGGATTCTGTTGGCAATGGCATTTGACCGCTATGTGGCGATCTGTGACCCACTGCACTATAGCACAGTACTCAGTCATGCAGTGATCCTAAGGATTGGCTTGGCTGTGGTCCTGAGAAGCTTCTGTGTGATTCTCCCAGATGTGTTCCTGGTGAAACGGCTGCCTTTCTGCCGCAGCAATCTGCTGCCACATACCTACTGCGAACACATGGCTGTTGCCAAGTTTGCTTGTGCTGATATTCGTGTCAATGTCTGGTATGGCTTGTCTGTCCTTCTTTCCACTGTAGTGCTAGATGCCTTGCTCATCTTAGTTTCTTACAGCCGCATCCTCTATGCAGTCTTCCACCTCCCCTCCAGAGGAGCTCGGCAAAAGGCTCTGGGTACATGTGGCTCCCACCTTGGGGTCATTTCTACGTTTTATTTGCCTGGAATTTTTACCATAATCACCCAGAGGTTTGGGCATCATGTTCCTCTCCATACCCACATTCTGCTGGCCAATGTCTGCATGCTGGCCCCACCCATGCTGAATCCCATCATTTATGGGATCAAAACCAGGCAGATTCGAGAGCATGCACTTAGTATTTTGTCTTCACAGTGGAAAAAATGCTGAGTTTGATCAGATGGTATATTTACCAATATAGGGCTTTACATCTTTTTATGCCTACGTTGTAGAGACATGAATTAACAGAGCGCCTCTGACAGTGAGCACAGTGAGTCATTATGATTCTGAAAGTCAGACTGCCATGACCTTGAGGAGGCAGTGTTAGGAAAGAACATGAGCTTTTGGATTAGCATTAAGTTTGATCCTGGCTTCACTGATGATGATAATGGTGTTTGATCATGGAGAAATTATTTTCTCAGAGACTCTCCTTAGCACATGCACAGGGTACCAGAAAAAGGATACGAAAATCAAAGCTATCAAGCAAAATTTTCCCACAGTGAACTTGTCCAGGGCATCACAATGAAAACTTCTAGACAGAATCTACATTAATACAATCATTTATATATATTTACAATTACTCAAATACATTGCAGTTTGAATTAGATGTTGGAGGAAGTGCCATGATTTTAAAATTTCCTGATTATGCCCTGGTTGTACCTTTATTATAGGGCTGTGATACAACTAAAGTATAAACAGAATCTTGACTATACATAACAGAGATTAAGCTGTGAACACATTTTGTTTTTTTTCCTTTCTGCTTTAGCTTATCTTTAAAATTATGCTATAATAATTTGCTAATAATTTGAGGGTAATTTATAGAATCAAGGATCAGGAAAATTAATAGATTTTGAATTTTAAAGGACAATATTAATTAAGGGAATTAGTGCTGGTAAATTACTCCCTTATTCCTTGAGATACTCTTTATGTGACAAGTAGGCATCTACTATATCACTTATCAGTGACTATAAGTGGGGTTGAAAGTTGAGATATTATGAAATCTCAATTTGTTTCAGTACAGACCAAGAGGAGTTGAGGAGCTGGTCACTGTATAATATGCATCTCCAGAGGAATTGAGGTAATCTCATATGCCAGGTATTCAGATTTTGAGAAATGAGATTTAAGTTTGTATTGCTATGAAAGTTTCTTCCCATCAATATATAAACTGAAGGAAGTGGTGGTCAAACCCAAGGCAGAAAGACAGAAAAGCAGAGAAGCTGATTTTATAATTAATCCTTCCTTCCCCTACCCCATATTTCTTCATGAACTTGACATCCACAAACCAGCCATTGCCTAGTGTATTTCCATTTCCATAAGCATAAATTATCTTCCATATTCTCCCTTCAGTTCATCAGCTAAAGCACTGGCTCACTTTGCTAATTTATTTTGATTTAGTTCTATAATGCCATCTTGGCTGAGGGTTCATCCCTGTATCTTTTTCTGTCCTTTTTATCTTTCCTTCATAGGACCTCCTTTCTGTACAGTATTAAGATAGACTGCTACTCATCTTTAGATACAACTGTTATCAATAAACTTTTTGAAGTGACTAGCATCTCTATAGTCTAAATTTTTTGATATCTAAAGTATTTAGCAGGTGTGAAAATAATCTAAGACTCTATTTTAGATAAGGAACATCATATCTTTGTTTAGCCTACCTTAAAATTCTGGGAACAACAGTTTGATTAGTCTAAAATTGGGCAGAATCATCTAACACAAAGCCTATTTTATAACAAAGTGTTGAATATCTCATGCAATTTACTGACTACTCCTCTGGATGTGAGAATCATAAGGTTGTATGGGTATGCTTTTGCACAATGGTAAAATAAAATAACTTGTAAGTCAAACTGTCATAAGTCTTGGAACATCTGAATACTGTTAGATAGCTATGTCTCAAATGTATATGTAGAATTCACAAACATGCACATTCACTGAGATATACAATTATATACGTATTTATTGCATATGATGTATAGGTGGGATCAAGAATGTCACAATGTTGCTACAGTGCAAAGATATTTTGTGAGATTGAGACTTTTTTAAGGTTTCACAACTGCTCTGACGTTTACCATGATCTTAGAGGTAGTGTGATGAACATCTTTATATTTCTTATATTTTTACAAATATTTATGACAAGTATTTATATTTTTAATATCCTCAAACTAGAGATTATTTTTTCTTTTTTATTAATTGTTTATTGGTACATTTTAGATGTACATAATGATCACATTCATCATAAGGAATGGGTACCTGTACATGATAGAACTTGATGCTTTTTTTCACCATTCCCATTTTCTCTGCAGCCCTTTTCTCTCTTTATTTATAAAAGCTTTGTTTGCATTTTTCCCCTTCTTTTCTTGTTTTTTTTTTTCCTTTACCCTTCCTTCCTTTTAAATAATAGAATGGACAAGTAAAATGTAGTAATCCAGACAATGAACTATGAAATAGCAATGACAATGAGTGGATTGCACTTAGAAGAAGAATTATAAATCTTGCAAACATATTGTTGAGCTATGAACATTATGAAATCACAATGAAATTAGTCACAAGAGAGTAGGGGGAATAGGTTATGTATAACTCTACTTATATAGTGTTCAAGAATCAAAGTAAACATATGCTTTCCATCTGAGGCTAGTGATTATTCCTTTGAGCTGTGACATGAAGGGAGCTCATTTGGATCTGCTGGGGTGTGGCAGTGGTCCGGTTCTGGATATGGTTTCTATTATAGGTTATCTTGTCCACAGCCCAGCTGAACGCCAGCAGCTGAGTTGGTTGCTGAGAGACCCAAGAAAATACCGGAGACAGTGTGTGAAAAATAGGTTTTATTAAGACTTACTCATAAGTATGAACAGAAAAGAACAGACTAGATTGGGACTTTTTAATACAGGATAGGGCTTCATGGTGAACTTGTCCGTGAAGTCCAGTCATGGTGGCTGGACAGGAAGCCACTAGGAGATCTAATGGTGGCAGGCTGGACAGGAAACCACCAGTAATTTGCAGTATCCAGTGGTGGCTAGCTGGACTGTAGCATTTGTATCTGTCAGCTTCTCTGTTACTGGGACAAACACCTCACCCCCACAATTAAGGAAGAAGTTCAATTTTGGCTCACGGATTATGAAGATTCAGTGCTCCCTGGCTGGCTCTAGGACAGAATCATGGCAGAAGGGCACGGCAGAGGAAAGCTGCTCAATTTCTGGCAGCTGAGAAGCAGAGGACCAGAGAGAGACACACTTTTCAAAGGCATACCCTCAAGGACCCTCTTCTTCTAACCGGGCTCCACCTGTAATAGTATATCTGGCAATGAACATTCATGAATACAGTGAGTACAGTGTCTCGAGTGCAGTGTCTCCATGATTGACTCACTTCTCCAGGAATCTCTTAATTCAGTCAAGTTGACAATTAAGATTAAATGGAGTTCAAGGGTATCGAGGAGTCACTGTTAGATTAACTGGCACAGCACTCCTCAGTGCTTTGTTCCACACCAGGTCATTGCAGGGTGGGGGATTTCACAGATTAAAGTACTGTACACAGCAGTGACACCATTAGCTTGCTTTGTTCCACTGTATGGGCAGCATTCCAAGAAACAGCTGATTTCACATATGGACAGGAAGGCAGTTTCTCTTTGCAGAAAATAAATACTAGTTTGCTGACTTCTTGCGTGTCTTTGAGATCACACTTATCCAGAGAGTCCAGTACTGGCATACTTATGATTGCCTGGGATGGCAGAAGCCAGGAAAACACAAAAAAAGCATTTCAAGGTCACAGTCCTAAATGTCTTCCTTTTTCTCAGATGATACAAGTATATATTCAGTTTGTTACAAAAGGAACCATTTGTCTGTGCACTATTTACTTGAATATTCATGCAAATATTAAAAAACCAAACATGTTAGATCCTCAAGAAAACTAGCGTAGCATTATTTGGGCTCCCACTTGGAGCTTCTGCTTCCTTTTGAATTTCCAAAGAACCTTGAAGGTTTGCAGAGTACAAAAGGAGGGAGGAAGGGGAGAATCAATACACCTTGTAAATACAACAGGAAATGACTTTTTGATCAGCCTATTAGCTGTCACTTTTAGAAGCAGAGTCTATGTGAGTATCTAGCCTTACACAGACCCAAGAATGACATTCTCCCATTATCAATCCAGGTGAAACTTTCAGCTGGACTTTGGTATTCGTTCCAACTACTTCTGGAGAAACTGTATGGGCAGCAAAGTGTATGTTGTGTCTGTAACACTGTGCTTAGGTACAGGGGAAGCAACGGTCAAGTGCCAATATCCACATCCTTCTCAGACAGCACGACCACAGGACTTAGGATCCCTACCTTCCAGGGAGAACGGACTGTACATGTGGCTGCTGCTCCTGCTGTTCAGACTGAGCCTATACAGAGAGATCCAGAGAAGGCTGTGGGCTTTTCATCGCCAGGGCCTGGGCCAGAGCAGGTACCAACACTCCTTTACACTGAAAGCAGAAAGGCAGAATCAGAAGGCCAAGACAGGATGTGGCCACACTGGTTTTCTGAGAAAGCACTTAAGAGCAGGCTGTAGTATTTAAAATTTTCTTTAACCAACCCCATTATGAATAGGATGTGGTTGGGAAAAACTCCAGCCCCAACCCATGGGCCTTAGGAACTGTGGCTAGGAGGAAATTTTGTTTACAAAGAAACAGTCATGATGAAATGACTTGCACTTCCCAGCGCACTCACCCTTTGCAACCACTTCCGTACCTTCACTCTCTCCACCTGCAGCCTCTCACTTGGCTTGAACCACATGTGTCTGCAGGGAGAGCAGCTCCAGGGGGTCCAGGCTCATCTTTATGTTCACTCTGTGTGTGTGTGTGTGTGTGTGTGTGTGTGTGTGTGTGTGTGTTGGGGGTGGTGGTGATCAGAGGACTCAGGGTAGGAAAGCAGCTCAAAAGATGGGGTGGGGAGAGTGAGATAAGGCAGAGCTATTCACAACTGAGAAATCTGAATCTGGGAGGAAAGGGAAGGGTGAGAACAGAGAAGAGTTTCTTTTCCCAGAGAACCAAGGGAGAAAATGGAAACAATGAAGACATTCCTGGTTTGAGAGAAGGCAAGAAAAGGGTAGGACGTTTCCACAACATACTTACGGGACACTTTAGAGCAGTGGTGGTGAACCTCTGGCACGTGTGCCACAGGGGACACATACAGCGCTTGCTGTTGGCATATGAGTCAAGTCATCCCAGAAAGCCAAGTCACCCCAGCTGCCGAGCATTCAGGTTTAATTACAGTGTTGGCACTTTGTGATAAACAAGTGGGTTTTGGGTTGCCGCTTGGGCACTCAGTCTCTAAAAGGTTCGCCATCACTGCTCTAGAGGAAGTCTTGTTCCATCCCTCAGTTCTGACCTCAGAGACCAGCCCCACCCTTCTGGATTTCCGGCCACAGAGGTGGTCAGATGCTGGCACCTTCTCTTCCCAGAGATGTAGCATTTGACCCTGCTGCAGTCCTCCCTCATTTTCTCTTTGTTCTTCAGTCCTGAGACCCTTGGCCCACAGGCACAGGCCTTAGCTGAAGACACTTGATGCTTGAGAGGCCTTTCTAGTGGCTGAGCCCAGGGACTCAGATAGTTTCTTTGTTTGGATTTTTTTTTTTCACATTCTTCACATTCACAAATGTGAATGTCCTTTCATACTTTTTTTTTCCAGCACAAACCATTCAGCAGATGTAGAGACAGAGACAGGAGATTGAGAGCAGGTAGCCTGGTCATACAAGATGAACCTCACCCTTATCACTTCTGCTGGCATGTTTTCAGGCTGACAGGATACTGCATTTTCTGCAGAAGCTTCTGGAGTAGGAAAGCTTCTGGGCCCTTCCTAGCTCTCTCAGCCTCGCCTGCTGACTTGGAATTCATGCTGTCATACATTTCTTCAGGCTCAAAACCTCTTCCTTACAACTAGGGATGCGGCCACATCTGGTGCACATATGCCCCTTCTCCACCCTGCCTTAGTAGAGACAGCATTTATTCCAGGAAAAAAACCGCCCAAAACCAGAAAAGTTTGCTTAAGGAAGGGGCATTTCAGAGTGGAATGAGGTTAGAATTGGACATTCCAGGGGGAGCAGGAGTTTGTCATTTTACAACACTGAAATTAGGGAGCATCCCAGCTTTGGGCTCCATAGACAGAGCACTTTATGACCCGCGATGCTGTTACTGTTAATCTGAGAACATGGACAGAAAGTCTCACGTCTATGAGGAGCGTGGGTGGCAGAGGTCCAGAGCTTTACCAGTCCCCAGGGTGATTTTGTTTTTCAAAACCAGGTGTCTCCTCAGCGTGAAGTAACGTTCCTTCGGGCAGCGGTCAAAGCTTAGATGATCTTGTATCACCACAGAGATGGCTATGGGGAATTACAGAAGATATTCTTTACCTGAGTCTTCCAGTGTAGAAGTGGGCAGGGGATTCCAGGCAGAAAAGAAAAATGTGCAATATTTTGGACACATCAACACTAATCATGTTTAGAGTTGTTGAGTATTTTGGGTTTAAGGAACAAGGACTGAATGGGATAGACAGAGGCAGAAATTTCTTTTTTTGGAAAGCCCTTTTGTAAACCATGAAAGAGGTAACAGAGATCTGACCACAGGTGAACAACTTAGGGAGACAGAGAATGAACAAGTTGCACGAAGGAGGAAGAAATATGTTTCTGGCTGACTCAGATGAGTTTGGGCCAAATATGCAGTCTGTTTCACAAGAGGGAATCACGAAGGAATCTAGGGCATGCGAACTGATGTTGAAGGTCTTTTGACACTGACTTACTTACTTTATTTATTTATTTATTTTAGTTTTTTGACACAGGGTCTTGCTAAGTAGCTCAGCCTGGCCTTTTCTTCACTATGTAGCCCAGGCTGGCTCTAAACTCGCAGTGACTCTCCTGGCTCAGACACTGATTTTCAGTGACCTCCCTCTGAAGTCCTGTTGGCTGGGATCCTGACGATTCCGCGGAGACAATGTGGCTCTTCCACAGGAAAGAGGGGCAGCGTCTGTGGCTGAGAAGAGGCATCAATGGGAGAGGGTAGCCGCATCCTGAGAAAGCCAGCAGTGGATCCTGATCAGCACATTTTCAGTGGACAGAGAGTCAGAGGGGCTGAGTTTCCTGCATTGTCATTGAAACCGGTATTGAAGAAGGGCCGTACAGATCCAGCAAAGGCACATCCAGAGAAGGTGTAAATAAGGGAACCGTGGTCAGTGATATTGTAGAAGGAGACAATAGCAGCCTCATAGTCCAGGAAAATCCCGATTTGGCGCGGAGGCACCTGAAGGTGGAGAGGCGTGTCGGGGCAGGTGCCAGCATGATATTCTTCTTTTTTCCACAACCAAATTGTCCAGAAGCCATTGTCAGGGCTGAACGAAAAAATGCCCTTCCTCTGCACAGAGCTTCTACAAACTCCTAGGTCCCAGGCCTCTTTTCCTGTTACATCTACCTCCCAGTAAAATTTACCGGAATTGAAACTTTGGGCACCAAGAACTACGGGGTAATTATCAAATCTCTCTTCATTTTCAGGCACATTCTGTCGGGTATCTCCAAACCTCACTTGTCTGTGGTCATCTGAAATGACAAGCCACTGATTGGCTGTGTCTCCATCCAGAGTGATGTATACTGCAGAAAGAGACCACAGTTAGGCTTGTGTGTTGGAGGGGCGGGGCCGGTAACCCTGTGCTTAGAGTGCAGGGATTCATGTAAACTCCAGGGTTAGGGGGTTACTCTGACTTCACCATGTGAGGAAATGTCCCTCAGCCAACCGCAGCTCTTGCCCTGACCTTTGAGGGAATGTTCCTTGCCTCTGTCTGTGCCCTTCCGTCTGACCTGCCACGTCTTCTCTGTGCTGCTGTCTATTCTCCCTGACCCTGGGGTCCTCTCTACACTCCCATCATCCTCTGCTCCAGAGGACTCTTAGAGGTCAGCTCACCTCCACACTTCCTCAGCATGGTCTTCAGCCCAGGCACGCAGCACACACTGTTTAGGGATGGGGAGGCAATGTCCAGCTTTGTCAGGTTCCAGGACTCACTCCTGGGGGGGAAGAGAATTTGAAACCCATGTCAACCACTTCTACCTTCCATTCCAGACTCTCATAATCTGCTTAGCTGGGGACTGATAGTTCAATATGAATTTGCAAACATCTCTTGTTTTCGAGTGTCCAGGTAAGAGGCAAAAAGTGTAGGACTCAGTTTCTATCCAGGAGTTCCTGTTTCCAAGCCGGAAGCATGTACACAGTCCGTATCATCTCTCCAAGCCCGAGGTTACCATGCCGCTGCCTTTTCATTCATTTTGCAGGTAAGGCACCTGATACAGAGTGAGTCATTTCTGTGGGGGAACCCCGAGGAGTCTTGCCTATGCTGTGGGGCTTACTCATGACTCATTCTGAGAGGTCTATACCTGGATAGAGTCTATCACAAAAAGAAGTCTCAGCTGGCTGTGGACTCAGAACTTCCCAGAATAACCTGGTTTATTGGGCTTTACTGTGTGAAGATGTTATTGTCCAATTACTTTGGACAGTTCCTCAACTGAGATATCCATTTATTCATTTTCTGAGACCAGAAAATATTTTATAGAGGGTCAGGTCTTTGAGAATAGGGAGGCAGATGAGGGACACATCAGCACCTGTATGTCTAACTCAGTAACTTTTTCATAGGCCTATAGGCTTTCTGTCACCCCATCCTCTAGCACAGAAAACTTCTTACCTTTCCAGGACAACTGCTACCTCCTGTGAAGAAAAAAGAAAGAGAAAGTTCTGAGGTTTCTGGTTGGTCACTAAGACTTTAGTCCTGTGGTGAATATCATCCTGTGACCCCCAGGGTTCTGTTCTGCCTTAGTCTCTGTGGGGTAACCAGAAACCTAGCACAATTATGACCTGTAACTGGGGAGGGATCACCAGTTTAAGGACTCTGATTCAGAAATTTAATTAGAAAGACCAGTTTCTTGCAGTGGAAGAGGTTGAAAGAAGAGGGCCAAAGACAGCAAAGAGTCCAGCATGGCTGAAGCCCAGAGACAATCATGGGGAGAGACTGGCCAGGACAGGATGCCAGAGATTGCTCCCTCTCACCTGGGAGCTTCCACTGCTTAGAAAGGAAGGGTTGGTTAGCCAAAGCGTTGTTTTGTGCTGTGGTTAATGTTGCCCCCTCCTTTCTTTGAAGTCAGTTCAACTCAGACTCTTAGGTTGCAAGGGTTGGGACCCCTTCTGTAGAAACTGTCAGACTCCTAGGCCCAGTCAAAAGGGCAGCAGAAGGTCCAGCGAGCCTGCCAAGGGAAGCCAACACAAACCAGAAAGGAATAATGAATAAGAGAGATGGTGAAAGGTATGGGAAAAGAACAGTATAATGTTAGCAAGGGAAACTTCTGAGACCATCCAGTCCACAGTTTTCCAAAGTAAGGTGAACATATCATTGATGATGCAAGACGGTTTTAAGGAGAATACACACTGATGCTTTTCAAAGAAGTTATGCACTTATTTTAATTTTAATTCTACCTCTTCTTATTCAGGTGAAATTGGTCAAGTATTTAGCTTTAATTTCTCTCAGTCTCTTCTCTGTTCCTTAGTTTTCTTTCCTTTAATAGTGGATTGAACCCAAGGCCTCACACATGGTAGGCAAGGACTCTACCACTGAAGTGCACCCTGTGATCTTGTTAGCTCATCTCTGAGATGGGACAATAGCAGCACCCACCCTGAAGCCTGACATGTCACATGTACTATTTAAGAATTTGCAGGTACTGTTATGAAATAAATTAGAAAAAATGTCGGTAACATTAGTACATGACTTTTGTCTAATATTGCTTTGGAAAAATTCTTTTAAAACTAATTTTATTCAGGGACAAGAGACAATCTGAAGAAAAATAACATGCTAAAGTGATTTTGTTAGTTCACAGAAATAACAAGAAGTCTGCGGCACATTTCTGACTAACATTAGGGGGACTCTTGATACTTAGTGATACTCTTTCACTTGTTTCAGAATTGGAGAAATTGGGTTTTGGAAAGAAAAATAGTTTAACCTACAGTTCTGGAGAGAATCGGTAGCAGGGCTGGAGCTGGGCTCCTTTTTCTTAACTTTCAGTTCAGCTTTTAAAGTTGTATTTATTAAAACCTTCTCATGGCCAGACATTTATCTGAGAGCTATCGTGGATTTTCTCATTTAATGATGACAAATACTCTGAGATACATACCGATACAATATCTCATTTAACAAATGAGAAACCTGATGCTCAGAAAAATTACAGTGCTTTCTCAAGCTCCCATACTTGGGGGGTGGGCAAAGGCACTTACCAGCAATGTTGATTTCTGTTAATTGCTTGGCAGTATATTCTCTCCTACATTTACCCTTTTGTGCCTTGAATGGAAACCATTCAAGGTTCTGAATCCCAGTTTATTTAACAATATTCCATGATTAAGATTCATTTTACTCTCAGAGTGGCTCCAGAGAGCTCTGGTTTTTGAGACTTTCTTCCAGTCTTACCTGCAGCAGCTCCAGGTTGGAGCCCTGACTTCTCTGCTCCAGTTCTGAGATCAGTGCCTGCAGGACCTGGCTCTGCTGGGTCAGTTCGAGCTCTGTTTCCCCCAGAATTCTCAGCTGCTCTCTTTCATCTTTTTCCAGTTTCTGCAGCTGTCTCTGTTCCTCTTCAACCAGGAAGTCTCTCTGCTGCACAAACTGTGCATGAATCCTCGATTTGTGGGCCTCAACTTCCTTCTTTGGTGTCAAGGGAGATAGAGAGAGAGAGAGAGAGGTGGATTAACCAAAATTTCCCAGGCTTTGAGGATGGAGGTGTTAGTACCATTTCTAACCCTGGACACTTGCCACTCTGGTTATATCTGGGACTACATACATACACACTCACATACACATGCACGTGTGTGCACACAATTTTGCTGGGAGGTAGGTAAGTACATGAGGCTTCTGGGACTGAAGGACAATAGTTTGGGCAGTCCACTGTAGCTAACCTACAACCACAGCTACCTCAGTCTATGGCATCAGCAGATACTTTTTTCAACCTCTTCCAAAAACTGCCCAGAAGAGTGCCTTTATCTTTGTATCTTAGTAAGTTACAGGCAGAACACAACGTATCCCCGCACCTGATGACTTCACATAAAGAAAGGCTCACTACACAGTTCCTAAGTCTTGGGGAAAGGACAGCCTTGAGACATTCTTTTCATGTCCTCTCCTACTAGTAACTCTGGTGTTTACTTGGTGACGAAGAGTGACATCTTCTGTCACCACAGCCTGACTCAGCCTTCCTTAACCCCAAATTTTCCTTTGCTGGATAGTACTAGCTATGAATTCCTTCTACTCTTTATTCCTGGACATACCCCACCTCTACTTGCAAACCCCCAGTGTGTGGAACAGGCTTTAGTTCTCCATTGTGCTTTGGATCAGTGATCTGGAAACAGTCAACCACCTAGTCAGATTGGTTTTCCTACTGCATATTTTGATGGGCCCTTCAGTCTGTTCTTCACAGCCCTTGCCCTTTCCCACAACACATACTAGTTGAGCTTCTCCTGTGGGCTACCTCTATCCTTCTGGAGACTGGGCTGAGACAGTGGAGAGCTTTAAAATATAGCCTGACCCTCTTAGCACCTTCTTCAGTGATTCTGCATCTTTGTGCCTGATGCACAACTCTTCTTTGAGCCTCCAGCCTTTTTATCCCTTTCTATCCAGAGACCCAGAAGTCAGGTCGCTCTTGCAAAGCGAGTTTAACAATTCCATAATCCCGCAGATAGGCACAGCTATGGTTAAGGGTTTCTTCAGTCCAGCACCCTGGACCTTCCAGCCTTTGATGCTTACCTTCCAGTCTGCTTTCTTCTTTGCAAGATTCACTTCCAACCCCTCAGCCAATGCCTGCTGTTTTCTCAGTTTCTCTAATGTCAGCTGGATCTTCTCCTGTGGAGAAAGATAGCAGGTGAATCCTCACCCAGAATAAGTAGGGGCATGGGTTGGGTTAGATCATACCGTTCTTAGAAAAAGCCCAAATGCAGAAGAGGAGGGAGGACCAGACACTGATTGGAGTAGGAAGTCTCTGGAAAGAAAGCCTTGGGAACAGGCCTAATGTGTTTTACAAAACAGCTAAATTCTTGGAATGGCAGAATGGGAGCACTGCTCATGTATAGTTAATCGCAGATCATAAGGAAACATCACGATCTATTTGGCATTTTCTCATAGCATATCTCCTGCTCTGGAGGACTGAGAAGGTTAGGTCGACTATGCAATTTTCTCTCACAGAGGGAAGGAAGTATCTCTCCTTTTCTCACCTTTTCAACTCCAGCAGTGACTTTCTCCTACTAGCAAGTCTGGGGCACAAAGTACTTATCAGCACCCAACATATTACTTGCAGGGGTCTTGTGCTAAGGCCTCACCTGGTACTCCCGAGCTGCGTCCTCAATGGGGACCATGGTGTGGTTTTTGTGTTTCTTGGATTGAGCACACACCCAGCAGAGGACCTGCCTGTCTTTCTCACAGAACAGATGAAGTCTCTCCCCATGCACCGCACATCTTTCCCCTGGTGTGCCCTGATTGGCATCCTGGCTCATTTGTCTGAGCGTGTCCACCATGTTGGCTAACTGCCGATTGGGCCTGAGGTGCTTGAGCATAAAGTGCTGTCGGCACTCAGGACAGGTACCACCTCCGCTTTTCCCGACCTCAGAGATACATGGCCGGCAGAAGGTGTGGCCACAGTCAATGCTCACAGGTTCCACCACAGGTTCTAGGCAGATACAGCATGTTACCTCGTCCCACATCATTGTCAAGGGCATTGCTGAGGCCATGGGGCGGTGTGCCTGGTATGCAGCACTGTGGAGACCTAGAAGGGGCTTGGGGAAAGGAAAGGGAAAAGAGAAATTAGAAGGTTTACATGAAGAAAGCAATGTCAAGGAAAACATACATCAGGATGAACTGGAGTGGTGGGAACAAGAAAGGCAAGAATATCAACCAGATATCAGGACCCTCTCCTCTGCGGTCTGTCCACTGATCTAGTTTGGCAGAGGGGAGACTGAGTCTCCAGCACAGGCAGAGAAAACCATCAAGTTGTTGACAATTCTATTTTTGCCATATTTACCGGGGCTTAAATCTTCAGTATCCGGTCATTTCCCACGCATTTTCTCCCATCTCATTTCACCAAGCCTCCATGTGGCTACGCCGCTAAAACAGTGACCATTTACCATGCAACTTCCATGTTCCAGAGGTGCTACCTGCCTCTCATACACCTGTATTAATCTTTACAACAGTGGCAAGAATCAGGTGTACAGAGTCACAAGCCACGTACGATGCTTTGGTCAGTGAAGGCTGGATGTACAGCCGTGGAACAACAGGCCACACTACATAGCCCGGATGTACAATGCGTTGTATCACTTGGGTTTGTGTAAATACACTCTATCATGTTGGCACAACCATGAAATTACCTAAAAGCAATTTTTTACCCTCTAGATCTTATTCCTACCTTAAGGATATCTTTATTTATTTTGATATATTCTTACATAAAATGCACATTACATATGTATGTACGTGTGTGGACGTGTGCTGAACATTCCCTGGGCTCTTCTTGGAACCGCTCCGAATTTCCTTGAGGCCATAAAGTATCTTGAACCCACAGAAACTTCTAGGGGAACACCCTAAACAGTCTGCCCCTCGGAGACTTCCGGGGTGAGCGTGTCACTGGGTTCCCTCGGGCCACTCTGGGTCTGGGTTACTATGGTCCTGGTTCTCCCAGCTCAGGGGCCAGCCTCAGAGCAGTCCGAGCTCTTTCCAGGTGACTCTGGAGTCACGTAGAGCAGCGGACAGGTCAGGTCGGCCAGCAAGAACCTGGGCGGGGCGTGCGCGAGCGCGCAGGGAGAAGGCGCTCAGGGCACCGCAGGGTGGGGGGCAACCGCGGGAAGGCGCTCTGCAAATCTGGGCAGGGGACCTGGGGGAGCCGGCTCCACTCACCTTCTCTGGGGTCTCAGTGCAGGCCGCCGGGTCCCTGCTTCACTTTTTGGAAATTCCCGTGGCCACCAGCTCCCTATTTCACTTTCAGTTTCCTCTCAGAGGGGGCAGAGCAATGGGAGGAGCGAACAGGGAAGCGGGAGGGGAGGAGCACTGGGAGAGGCTCAGCGGGAGGCGAGCGCCAGCCGCGGGGAGGTGGGAGGAGGCTGCCAGGAGCAGGAGCTCAGCCGAGCATTCTCCCGGGTGCGCGCTCTGCCAGGTCCTTGCTGTCTAATTTCATACAAATTTGTACAGTTAATTTACAAGATGGGAGAGTCGATGTTGCTTTCGCTGACACTGTTGTTTACCCTGCGTCTCGACTCTCTATCCTTCGGAGCGTCTGCTTCCGTGCCACCGTTTGCTTCCTACTGATACAGGAGAGATGTAACTTTGCGGTTCTGTATGGAGTCCATGTTTCCCGAAGTGGAAGAATAAATTCCAAGGAAGAGAACACACAGTCAAGAGGGAAGTGCAGGTGCTGAAAGGAATGAGGCACATACAACTGGGAACTGGGGAATAGAAATGGGAAATAGGAATGGCTCCTGAGAGACAGGAGGGGTCCCGAGTGGGTTGCCGGGAGGTCATCTCTTGGAGAATATTTTACAGGGCAAAGCCACAGAGGTGTGTGCAACGTGGGTCAAACTACAATCAACCAATAGGATTAAAAGTGTAGCTGCTTAGCTAATATTGATCCAGTGGTGAAGCAGGACATGTAGCAAGGGCATGTGGATAAGGTCATTAACTTTGGTCCGTAATCTATAGTTTTAGTCTTGTATTTAGTCATAGTAGTCTTAGTCTTAGTCTTCATGGGTGGGAGAGGACGGTAAACCCCTAGTGAGATAATGGTTTATTTCCATGGGAAATCCCCAAAGGCTGGTACCAAGTACAGTATAGTAATCTCCAGCTTCCATTTATCCCTTAGAGAAATATGTAAACCTGGCCATTGTGACTTTTAATCTCAAGTTCTTGCCTTCTTTAGCTGCACCTCCGGCCACAATTTTGATGTGTTCTCATCTTCTGCACTGATTCCCTGGAAAGCCTAGCCCTGTGTGACTTCCTAGTTTCTGCCTAATTTATCTGCCTGTGATATTACTTCCAGAAACAAATTCCTTTCTATGTGACTGATAGTTATTAAATTCTGAGGCTGAGAGATTTATTCCACATGACCTCCCTGAGTGGTAAGAAATGGATTAACATTTATGAAGCACCGACTCTGTTCTTGTCACCAAACTGGGACTATTCGGTGATTATAGTTATTATTATTGAGTTGTTATTTAAGCTACACAACACTTTTGATTTTGGGGTTATTATACTCAGATTAACGGGGGATGGAACTGACACTGAATTGAGCACACTTACTTTCTTGTGGTGACATTGCAGGCATAGGAGCACGAGATCTGAAGGTATAGGAAAAATTCTCATTTAGTGACATCCTGGAGATAGCAAAAGCTGCAAGGCAGCTGGAGGGGGTGGGGCATAAACTGCACAGGAGAAAAGGAGACCGGTGGTGAGGTTTGAATTTTGAATTCCTTCCCACTTAGATATCTCTTCTTTTTTCTTTTCTTTTTTCTTTCTTTCTTTCTTTCTTTCTTTCTTTCTTTCTTTCTTTCTTTCTTTCTTTCTTTCTTTTCTTTCTTTCTTTCTTTCTTTCTTT